GATGTGCTGAACGGGTTGCGCGTAGCTTGGATAGCGATGGCGAAGAAGTTGGCTGTGGAGATGTCATCTTGGAATCCTGGTCTCGGCACCAAAAAATGCAGCGTACGAGAAAACTGTATTTTAGGAGACGGTTCGGCAACAGACGACTATGCAAAAACACAACCAATTACGTAGAACAGAGCAGCAACATTTATTGAAGACGGGAACAAAGACTACTGAAAAACATACATTTGCTTTGTCTTTAAATAAACTTATATTTGACCTTCGGTAAAAGGCGCGGAAATTAATCCCATGTGGGATTGGTCAGTAACTATCAGTAGCCTTGGACATGATTGGTCCGAATTAACTAATTGTGATTGGCTAAAGAAATCACTATCAGAATCCGTATGTGAAGTCTAGCTCTAGCACATAATTTTTAGGATTTATGTTTCCGATAAATTGAAGCACTCAAAGATATACTTTGCCAAATTAATTAGTGATTGTTTATCTTTTGTTTTTAGAATGTCTACAGTGTTTTCAATATCAGATTTGTCAATTGTTGTAATGACCTTTCTGGTATGAAGGAACTTGTTTCTTAAGGTAGAGATGCAGTTTACCTGACAGGTAGTTTAATTAGTTAATTAGGAAACCAAGATGACCTCCCTTGTCCACAAAACTATATATTTTCAGAAAGCTTATTGTATGAATTTAAAAATTTTGTAAGTATTTTTATTTTATGGACACTGTAGTTTGAAATATGCACAAAAATGTGCTTTTTTGGTCAAAAGTGATTTTAAAAAAATTAGCTTCTAAACCATGCCTCTGTTTCCTGTCAAAATTGGTTTACGGGTACATATGTTTACTATGAAGAAAGTGCCATCTGGAAAACTGTCTATCAGTTGTCAATTTCGCTGGGCAGCAGCTCAAATTTCACTAATTCAAGTTTATGCATAAATTAACACCCAGGCTAGTTGTCTGTACGATTGTTGTAACACTGTTCAACCAAAAACAATGCCCCGGCGGCGTTTTGAAGATAAATACATTGTCAATCATTTGTGAAAATTTCAAAACAAAAGGTCAAAGCGTCTAGGAGCTATTTTTTTTTTTAAGTTCTGGGATGTGCACTAAAAAGAAGCTGAGATAATTGCTAATTTGCATAACAATTCACTCAGTGAGAAGTTTGCTAGTGCTCATAATTAAAATGGCTGTAACAGTTCCAAATTTAAATGTATTATCGTTTCGTAAAAAGTTAAATATAGTGCATAGTATGGAGATCCCGTCATTACTTTTTTTCACCATGTTTCTTCTTTATTATTTATGTATAGCCTTGCTAAATCTTGCTAAGCATTCAAAAGAGAGAATGTTTGCACCTGTTAATTATATTTTAAAATCGTCGTTTGAGTATGTTCCACTATTCAAAATTCTTCAAAATTGTAACAGTCTATAGCCAAGACTGCTTGGATAATAAAAAGCTAAAAAAAAATTCACTCCCAAGTGCCCACGAACATGCATCTCTTCCCTCAAATCAGCATAGAGAGAACATTTAATAGAAAATGGCTTTCATCTTCTATTTGTGTCGTATGTGTAGAATTTCGTTTCGTTTCTTTAAACAATAAGTCCTAACGAGCTAATTATTTCGAATGCGTTTCAGGAAAAATTAACCAAACATTACAGAAGTAGACAATTCCAGATACAATCAGAGTTTTGGGTCACGTTGGATGAAACAGATGTATGAATGGCCCTGACATGACAATGTCGGCCGTGATAAAGATAAAGGCAGATAAATGAAGATCTCATTTTCTTCATTGTCAAATTTCTTTGATCATATGAGAACTAGCGATGCAAAACAATTTCCGCTTTCCGCAAATCCCTGAAGGCATTCTGGTAACGCAATGTGGAAGTAAAATATTGATCTGTTGGAATTGATTTCAACAGAAAATTGGCATGATTTAAAAACAAACAAACTGGTAATTAGCAATTTTTGAAAGGTGAACTAAATATGGAATGGGCCCTGAAAATAGAAACGCCCCAAATATTGGGGGGGTAGTTGAGCATGGGCACTTAGTCAAGTCGGACAAGTATGGTTACCTATAGGAAATTTGTTTTAGAACTGTAAACTAGTTATTGCAAATTAATTGCTGCTTACTTATATATTCATGATTCTCATACGTTTTTGATTTTATTAACCTACTGAACACTTATTTCCCTCGCCAAGATTTTGTTTATTTTGACCAAATGGAAATTCCTTATTCTCTATAAGTCTTGGTAAATAGCTGTTAGCATTTCAAATCCTAATTCTTGCTGTAACTTACTCAAATTTTTTTCACTAATCCAAAAATTATTTTTATTTACACATTTTTTTAAAATGGTGAGGTTATGCAACCCTTTTCTCCACCAATGCTGTATGTATGTAGTCAGCTTTCCTAATTTTGCTATACTTGAATACTAAGTAGCATAAAAATTGTGTTAAAAACCACGCCCCTAATAGAAGTCACACCCATTCTTTTTGAACAATTGAGATTAATTTTCCATGTGCTAATAGAAGCTGCATCCACTCTGTTGTATTGTATCATTTTATTTGAATCCATTATAACCAATAGACATATCCACCATATTTTTAGTTAAAACACAGATACGTATATTTGAACTTGTTATACACTTACCCGTTTTGTTCCACCACAAACGTGAACAGAACAATTGGAAATAAATACACAGACGATGATCATCCAGCATATGGATGACGCCATTTTGAATAGCGCCGATGTCGTTCACTTCAGCACTTGCTTTCGTTTTTACCAACAAGTGAGGTTAACAGTCTTTTATTCCCTCGTATTCGCGAAAACAATTTTACCCAGATTGGGATAGAACTCACTTACAAAGTTATTGGACGTAAACTTGTCCAAAATAAAGAAATTAAGAATATAGAATGATCACATCATTTCGCGAAAACTACATAACTTTGCTGTTTCTACCTCAAATATTAAATATATATAGTACATGCGATATTTTCCCACAGAAATTTTAAATCAAGCGATGATTTATTTATTTTCAGAAAAATTTGTCCGTAACTTTTTACTATTTGTGCAGCAGTTTGTATTGTATAAAAATGACATGTGTTGAGACTCTATCAACTTGACTTGGTACGAAATGCATATTAGAGTACTATTTGTTTAAAAGAAAACATAAACGGTGGGTTTATAGTGATAATTAAGGTGTTATGTATGCAATCGGACAGCAGGATACCTGTAGTTGGACATCGAGAAAACATTTTTAGAAGTTCAGATAAATGTTGTGATCGAGAACACTCGCCATGGCCATACACTGACACGAATATGTAATAATGTGAGCGATATGAGATATGCAAGGCGCATTCAGAAAATACCATCCAAAAATTGTACTATTTTTGCTACATTACTTTTTGCAATACATTGAGTAAGTAAAAAATTAAACATAATTAAAATAGCTGTCGATTGTTTGAGAACAAAGCTCTGCCTGTATTTCAGGTTTCCCAAACACCCCTCGCACTATTATTCTCTATGAAAATCCGCGATGTCCTACCATGGCGCTAGAAGACCCTTTCTAGCTCCATGGTCCTACCATGACCCGTAATTATAACGAGGCAATTTAAGTGTCAGACACGGTAAGAATTACTCTGATTGATATACCAGCCTGAGCTGTAATGTAATATGCCATAGTTTACAATACAAAGTCTTGAAATCACCTGGATACAATCTGTTTCTATGTTTCTAGGGAGACAAGGGTTTTAGATATTCCTATTGCGACATGTATAAAGACGGTCATTTTGTGAGCGAAAAATGGTTGAAATTTTGAAATCGAGACTGTTTTTCTGGCTGGCTAATTTGTTGACATATAGTGGAATGGACTGATGTCAAAAGCTCACATGAAAAACAATCACAAATGTCTTGAGTTTTTAAAAAAAAGAACAGTTTACCGTGGTACACATAGTCATTGAAAGTAAACAGTGTTGCTAGACGTTTGGTGAACGTAAATCATTAACTAGAGTTATCGAGTGACGTCACTTATAAGTCAAGACTTGCCAACTGACCTCACGCCACGGTTCATTACAGTAAAAGTCATTGAAACTGAAGTAAACAGCGTTGCTAGACGTTTGGTGAACGTAAATCATTAACTAGAGTTATCGAGTGACGTCACTTATAAGTCAGGACTTGCCAACTGACCTCACGCCACGGTTCATTACAGTAAAAGTTACACCAACGTGACTCCAGGCAGCTGTACCTGTACCAAGTTCCGAGACACAGTTTACTGACTTGTTCATTTGAGATTATTATTTCTGAATATCTGGTAAGTCAAACTCCTAGTACATCGTATACGGTAGAACACCTAGTTAGAAAGTCCCAACAAAATGTATGATAGACAAAGACCATAACTTTGACCGTAAACGCCATGGCAACACTCAAAATGCCAAACCAAAACCAAAAACAACAACAAAAAACAAAAAAACAATGAAAGCGACATTTCTGGAATTTCATAGGTCTTTACGTGTTGTGTTGGGTGTCTACCAGTTGAATTGTCATACGGCTCTTTCAGAAACATAGAATGTTCTCACATTTCAGGTTGTTACTTCCTTGTCCAATTTCCTTATCGATTTATGACTGTTAAGAAACTGCACGGGAGAGTTTTACAACCGCTATTGGATTATACAAACGGGAACGTTACTTCAGGGCATCTAATTTCTTGAGAACGGGCACATTTTCACGAAATAAAAGTCACGCATTATTTTTCAAAAATGGGGATTTTATAACTGAATCGGACTTACTAGTTTCAAGACACGTACATACATAAACGTACCAGTGCAATGACAGTACGTATTGACAAAAAAAAATGAACACACCGCTCTGGGTGTCTTTATTATACCTTCATAATATTATTGTACACATATTAAAGCAAAACGCGGTATAATTTGAACTTTCGGTGTCATTTTTAGGCGGGAATTTGAACATCGTATTATACAAATATGTTCGATTATTTTTGAGGGGTCGATTGTTTCTTATTAAGTCCACCGAAGTTGGTCTAGTATGTCTCAAATATTCAAATTAAAGCTAGTTGTATAACTAACATGTGTTAATATGCTCGCTGGTCGCACCTCCAAAAACAGGAGTGTCTATTAATCGTAATTGCTGCGACCGTACGGTATATTTTTATTTGTCATATGCCACCATGTACATAACACTACTGCGTCAACGTGACAAGTGTCATTAGGTATAAATAATATATCAATAACGACTGGAGAACCTTGACCGCTTTACCGTATAACGCGTGTGTGAATTTCAATTTATTTTAATTTATTGCTCGAATTTTTTACAAAATTCTAATTTCTATATATATTTGCGCATACCAAGTTTCGTGTTTGTTGCTCTGTTTGCTTGCGCATAACACGTACGTAAGACACGTAATCGACATCAATCATGTCAACATGTTGTAATCATGTTTTGCTTCACGATTTCGCTGAAAAAACTTTAGACACTTCTGGTTGTTGATAAAAACTTATGCTGATTATGCAAAGAGTGAGTGTATACAAACACTATACGGGTGTATAGGTTAAACATAACATCATAAAATAATTTGTTTTTATTTTAAGTTTGATCGCAAGGATTTATGATACGCACGTATATCTCGATAGTGTTTATTACGGGTCGCACCTGCGCGTAACAAGACCTATGAGCCCGCGTTGGTATACTGACTTCAGTTGTTATGACTCCAGGCATTGACGTGAGTTTCGTCACACGTGATAACTCTTTTAGTCATGCTGGCATTCTGTAATTATGTTCCAGTAACTTTTGTATATGCAGTTTGTCATTTCCCATTCTGGCTGGTGTCATTTATGGGTGTACACATTTGCTGATTTTTGCGAGAGTGTGACCGCACCCTTTCAATGTCGTTGAGTCACTAACAACGGCAGCGTGGTAAAAGTGACCGTAAAACTAATATCCTCGTGACACTTATGACTTTATAGCGTGCCATGCTCAACCAACGCCCAACATATGACTAATACGTTGTCCAATATACTAAAAAAATATATTTGAGTCTTCCGACCATTCACACATTTTTCGATTAATTCCATGCAGATGATTCAAACAACGTTTCTATGTATGTAACTAGTTAAAAGAGGGGGTGAGTTGTCAATATATATATATAAATTATAATAACTAACTAATCATATTTGACCATCGTGAAGTTTTAAAAGAAACAAAATGTGGAAAAGTCGGACAACGTCTAACCAATAACGTATATATACGTTCTATCAAAATGAATCACGTGATCACTGACATTGGCAGTGAAGCATAAAACACCAACACAACACTGGAAGTGTTCTCTACATTTTAGATCGAAAACCTCAACGCTGTCTAAAGCAATGCACAAGTACAGCAAACGAAATGCCCATTATTCAATATCATCAACTATTCATTTAAAGTTACAAATAGGAATGAAAACAGGATTAATGGCGAGTGGTGCCCGAAATGTTCAAGTTGTAATGGGATTGCCAGACGGCATTATGTGAACTCACACACTACATGTATACAGTTTATGCAAAAAAAAGTAGAAACTACAGTATTCTTTGGTCTATGCATGGAAGGTACTAACGTTAGTACCTTCCATGGTTTATGATACATCGAATAGTTTCCTGATTACACCATATGCTTCTACAACATTAAATGTTTGCTATGTGTCACAGGGTTTACATAAACGTATTACACAAATTGAAAATGAAAGAACTTTTTATTGTTCTGAAAGTGACTGGTAGGAAGTGGTAGGGGCAATGTAAACGAATTGGCTGTTAACGACACTTCACATTAAGTACCAAGGGTGTCACGACGATTCACATTCTCAATGACGTCGTTATTTAAGCAAACACTGTGCAAATTTGTCAGAGAAATCCCAACTCTAACTTTATATGGCCACTGGCAGCAATACTTAGTAAGCTCCCGCGTGAAACTACGTCCGAGTGAATTCTGATTTTATATGGTGGCTGACATTCGTTAAAACCGTAAATGGTCGATAATTTTGAAAATTGTCAGGGTTTTTCTTTTTTCAGTAAACAATTGAAATGTATGGCCTTCAAATAAATGTTATCAAAATGTCAAACTTCACGGTGGCCTGACATGTAGGCGTGAGTGGAGCCCTCGCCAGTCGAGCAGACACCACTTGGCTTTTGTTTGGTTTGGACACAGGCCCTCTACAGGGATAGAGGGACTGTGGTTTGGAGCACCGCGTAAGGCGCAACTCACGCGATCGTGTCAGGCTAGATTCACCGATGCAATTTTGCATGCGAGTATCATTGTATGTACAAAATTGATGGCGTGTCATATATGTCAGGTGTGATTTTACGTTGAACTATCAACCAAGTATTGACAGAAAGGAATTGGCGCATATGTGTGTATAAGAAGGGTTCATCCGTGGTGTTGTACCCTACTGTGAATTCAGCCATGTGGTGGCGCTGTTCGGTAATCACAAAATGCAGCTACATGGAGTATTATCAAAAAATCAGATAACAATTAAAGTACTGATTTGCGTCTTCTCTTTACTTCATTAATGTAATGTTTTATTTCCAGATAAACGGAAAAGACGAAGATGGAATCCGAAAAAACTCCAAAATGCATAAAATATATGTTGTTTTTACTCAATTTTATTTTTTGGGTGAGTTAGTACTTATATTTATTGACACATGTTGATATACGCATTGCAAAGTCCTCGTATATGATGTTGTATTCAGAGTTCAACGGAAATCTATAGATTAAAGCTTAGTTTATATTGAGTTGAGAGATAAAACTGATTGATCAATCCAAGTGTAAGCATTTACTGTGCAGTAGAGACTACAAGATCCATGTCCTTTTAACTATTTCAACTCTTGGTCACGTGATCTATTATTTACGTCATTCGATTATTTCTGCAAATCCACATTTGTCTCTTTATCTGTATACCTGTATTATGCCTGTATCTGTATTAGTGAACCGTTATACAAAGTACGCATGAATCTTGTAAATGGTGCAATTAGTACAAAGGGATCTTGTAGTACAATAATCTTGTAAACGCCACATTAGTACAAAGAAATCACTGAAGCATCGCACGTAGTATAAATGTTTGTTTAAAACGCACACTTAGTAAACATGCATCTTGTAAACGCCACACTCACTACCAAGAAATCGTGTAAATGCCACACTTACTAGCAAGAAATCTTGTAAACGCCACACCCACTATCAAGAAATCGTGTGAACGCCACACTGTACTACAACGGAATCTTGTAAACACCGCCCTTACTACAACGGAATCGTGAAAAGACCACACTAATGGAATGACGTAACTCGTTAAAAGATGCGCACGACTGTGGTGGTTACAATCACAACACACTTTAACTCGTGCGATTATTTGTATCTTCTGTTTGATTCACCCGCATAGTTATGTGGAATGGCCATGGTGGCACTGGGTGTGTGGATCTTATTGGATTTCCCGGCATACCTAGAAGTACTAGACAATGCGTTTTTACAGAGTGCGGTGTATCTTTTAATTGGTGTCGGAGCTGTTGTGACGGTAGTGGCTTTTCTCGGATGCTGTGGAGCAATAATGGAAAAAAAAGCAATGTTGATCATGGTGAGTTTAATATGAACGTAGTCTAGATTGTATACGGTGTGTGTGCTCGGTAAATAAATAAATAAATAAATAAATAAATAAATAAATAAATAAATAAATAAATAAATAAATAAATAAATAAATAAATAAATAAATAAATAAATAAATAAATAAATAAATAAATAAATAAATAAATAAATAAATAAATAAATAAATAAATAAATAAATTGGGGTTTTATTGGAGACAAATAATCAATCGATACTTCAGCTGTGGAGTACCTCCTACTATAGTATAATATATGCTCTATTATTAAAATACAGTACACGTGTTTGGTCATGCTGATGTTGCTGGCTGAAATAGCATTGGCGGGAATGATATTTTACTTCGGCCTTTCCGACATCGAAGCTCACATTCTAGAGGCTGCAAACTCTACGCTCGTCATGTATGGAGAACAAAAGGCAGTGACGGATTCGTGGGATACAATTCAACGTTTGGTAAGTGAAAGTATTTTTACATTTGTAGTGTTTTACAATTCGTGTTGCTAAACGCACTGAGCGTCTTATCGAATCAATTGACGATGGTGAACTTATTCGTTTTATTTTAGGCATTTTCGAGATAATCCAGAAAATATAACTATGTTCCACATGTAAAAATGTTACAACTGCTAGCAGAAACATTCACAATACAAAAAGTATCGCAAATGTGGTCGGGAAAACAATTATATTAGACAGGTTATGATAATTTTTATATATCTTGTAAGGTACTTCCCTAATATAGTACCTTACATGATATATTAACTATCAATACTACTACTACTAGTACTACTGTCATGTGTGTAATCTTCATCATAATATTCAAATGTTCTTGTAGGGGAAGTGTTGTGGCATCAATGGACCTGATGATTACGAATACACGGCGTGGGCAAATGAACACATAGACCAGGGCTTCCCCGATAGCTGTTGTACGACAGAAAGCCTAGAATCCGCGAAATACATCAATCTAACCTTATGCCATGACGAAAACCCAGACTACTTCAATGGCGAGGTATTCTATATAATATATAAACAATTATTCACTAACGAACCACGCCCACTTCATTCGTGTTTTCAGGCTCGGTGAACGGTGAATCGTAATCGTGTAGGCTACGTGGTTTCATCGTGATATATTTTCAGTTATTTAGGGAAGTTCGAGCAAAATTGAAGGTCTTTTTTATCATGCTTTTCGTTGTTGATTCATGCCGTTTTTTCAAGAAACAAGTGCCCGAAATCTTTGCACTTGTTTGTATTATAGTAACAGTTTTATCGAAGTACGTTTCAAACTTGCTTGAACACCAAGCCCTAGCATATGATGGGACGAACTGTTCTGTTCTTTACACCATTTACATAAGATTGATAGTTAGAAGACAAAAAAATATATTAAAATAGAATGCATGATTTTAGATAAAACAATAAAATCTTAAAAATTATCGTGAAAGAATAAGGATTTATGCTAAATATTTCTAAGTTTGTCAATCTATGTTTTTGGAACTGAGCAATCTATGTTTTTTTTGGAAAATTATTTGAGTCTATTTTATCTGAAAAAAAAATCAGAAAAAATATAGCAAAATTGGATCAAACTACAAAATACTAGTACACTCCATTCACTAATTATCGTCGAAATAATCAGCGATTTTAATTAATCGTGACTTCATTTCCTGCAGGGTTGTGTGACCGCACTGAAAGACTTTGTGACAAACAACGTATACATAGCTGCTGGCATCGCTGTTGGAGTGGCGGCACTACAGGTATACATGTGTACCTTGATATCAGTAATTAATCCAGCGTGTCTGATTATGTCATCAAATTGTAGGCTCGTTCGCAATCGGTCACGTGATCTATTATTAACGTCATTCCAAACATACAAACAAATGATCCAAATGAATACAACTTGTTCAGACTATCGCGATGTTGAAATCAAATGTTTACTAGCTATGCCACACAATGATGCAATTGTTCAGTCGCCGCTTATTGGGCGACAGGTTACGAACGAGGCTATAGATTGTATGACGTAGTCGGACAAACATTCCACGTGATAGCTAAACCCGCATGTCGTCTATTAGATTTGTTACTTTTGCTAATGATTCATCTGTTTTCTCGTTTATACCTGGCCTTAAAATTAACGAAATTACCAAAATAGAACGCAGTCTAATAGCAATATTATTGGGCATGTGAAAGCAAAGACTAATAGATGCAAATGAACACAATTCTTCCCGTGTCATATTTCATGTATATTTTAATATTTCAGTCTTCGCATGCATTCAACTGGCAACACAAGTCATTCTTTTTTTTTACGTTCATGTGGTCTGTTTATCCATTGTCTACACCTCCCGATAGGAAGAGTGGACGAGCACGACTTGGAGTAAAATACATTGTGTGTAGTTCAGAAACATTATGGTTGAAGTAATTGTGTTTAAAGGTGGGAGGTTCCCTTTTTACGAATGTCTGTTTGGTCAACACATTGCCCTCTATCTCAAAAGTTGCATACGATTGCGGACTTGTATGACACATCTTCATCATAAAGTAAATTATTCCTAATAATTTTTTTTTTATTTTCTCTGACTTTCTGTAGTTGATTGGTGTAATTGCTGGTTACTGTTTGTGCTGTGCCATTGAGTAAAGACAATCATCTCTACTAGTATCTGACTACACCACCCATTTTGTATTTTATGCTGTGACCCTCGTCCCTTCGAATGACGTAACTACTTGTATATGCAAATTAGATGACCTGGACGATTCACCAGTCCTGTAGTGTGCATTGATCACTTCACCTTGATAACTTTTCATTTATTTAATTCTTTGTGTAGACATCGATTTATGGTTTCGTTTTGTTTAATATTGCTCGCATTGTTATTTACAAATTAACTGTAAGTTGTAGTATCCTGAAAGCGAAGACTGAAGTATGAAATCTCCGTTCTTTGCTGATTATCGTGTATTTCCGATTCATAGCCATCAATGATGACAGTATTCAGTACTTTACAAATATCATTATGCGCTACAGGCTTGTAACCAATACTTACACATGATACATGTAACAATACACCAACATATAAATAAATAACTGTTAGGTCATAAAACCCGCATTGATTCGCCGACTGGAGGTTGACCACGAAGCACAAATTACCTACAAATGACCCGTATTGGTTCCATTTTTCCTATATACAATATATATACAATTATATACAATTCGATAATATTTTTTTATTATATAATGAATCGCTTTATTACTATATTATATGGCCCAGCATAGTACTTAGTACACACTCTCTGTCGCAGATATGTATTCAGCTAACTTGACCATCTCTTCGTACGTCCCTTGATCACATTGGCGCCATATGTCAAGGGCTTTCAAAGATCAGACCACCAGAGGTTGTGTGTTGTAGGACTGCGTCGTTAAACTGAAAATAATACGTCGAACACATTCATTAGTACTATAGATGCATTAATTATTCTCTTAGTTTTATTTTAGCTTATGGGTAAAATCCGTGAACATATAAACACCAATAGAACTCGTTATTTCCCTGCCATAATCTCGAGCATAAACCTAGTGAATATCCAAATAGTGAAATTAAATGACAGTGGAAATATAAGGTTTTACAGTATGTTCCATTTTATAAGTACAGGTATAATTCCATTTTTTGCATTTTTATGGAATGGGCACCTTATTATTTTTGTAAATTATTGCTTATTTTGTCTTGACGGATTTCCTGTCGTGTTGGTTTTTCATTAGTCCACAAATTAATATCTCAGTGATTGTACTATATTCTTATTTGTTTTGTTTAATGAATAATTATATGTTATATTAAAATGATTGTGTCAGAGTTATTAAATACAACTGATATCTATATGAAGTTCGTAGTTGTCGATAATGCGTTTATTATCAATGAGGGTCGGCAAGGGGTATTTACGTAAGCTGTAACCAATTGTTTTTATTTTCGTAATAATGTAATTTAAATAAATAAAAAAAAACGTAAATTCGTAGACATAGGCAAGGTGTGAAATGTAATCAGCTATTTTATTCGTCTGTAATTTGTACAAAGATATTAATTTTTGTAAGCGTATAAAACATTTTCCAAATTAAACGTAGTAATTTCCAATTTTGATTCGTAAACTCAAATTATCAAAAATATTATAAAAACGTAAAATATAATTTAGGAATTTGCTTTATCTGTGAAGTGTAAAAAACTATTTTTTATATATTGTAAATGGAACTTTCATTTTATTTCCTGTAAAAACGTCAATGCCGTAATTATTTCTTGTAACCTGTACCAGCTACCCCCCCTTGCCCCCCCCCCCAATCAATGGGAAGCTGGACTTTCATCATGTTGTTTATTTCTTTTTTCAAGTTCGTTGTAAAAGCCGCGCTGTCATGGGGTATAGATTAGTCGCGCGGTGACCAGAGAATCGTAAAT